ATTACCAAGGTTCAAGTCTGGAGCATAATTACTAGTATAGGAGCAGTCATACCTGTTACTTTGCAAATGTACACCAACCCCTCACACATTTTATGATGTTTTTCTGAATCAAAATCCAGGAACACATGAAGTCTGAAAGCTTCTGAGTCTATCTTCAGTTTAAATAGGAATCTGAATATTCAGCATTTAACCATTTGTATATATGTGGTACAGTATTAATTTTGCAGAGCTCTGTGGAAAATTCATCCAAAACCTTCTAATCCAGCTATTTTGTACTTGTACACAACACTACCAAAACTGCTTTGGCCACTGCACTCAGACTCAAACCTTGAGAAACAGTATAAACAGCATCTGCGCTGTCTTCAGCTGTGATTAGGAATGGGAGGAAATCAGTAACTCTTGCAGCTGGAGAGATGCAGTGCTCTGCTCCTTTACACCCACTCCCAAAGGAGTTATAGTGAGTGTCCAAGCCTGGTTGATTTTATTGCTCAGCTGGGCTGTGGGAGGTGCTTTTAAAACAGCGCTGCTTCCACCTTCCCATTAGACCTTGCTAGCATGAATCTTTTGAAGACAGAGCCCGTGCTGCCTTCTCCTCTTAGCTTTCTCTGTGTATTGGTTTACACACCTGCTGCTAAGGCCCCCCTGTTCTTTTGCTGGAGAAGCCTTGACTTTGAAGGGTAAAGGAAAACACACTGTTACGAAGGACACTAAAGAAATCCGCAGTGCTTTTTTGGTGCTTAGGTAGGTATAACTGACCTAGATACCATAAACAGCATGAGGAGAAAAATGCAAATAGCTCTCCCTCTCTATAAAACTATTCAACACAACAGAAAACTACAGGATCTGAAAGGTGAGGGATGATTTATAAGGGAAGATGTGGGAATACTCTCTTTCCACTTCCCCAGCTGTGCACAGCTGTGTCCTCTTTTCCACTGTTTGAACTGCTGTCTCTACAGCACAAGTCCCTTGACTTCTTTTTCCTCCTAAAATCTTTGCTTCAGCTGGCTGTTTCTTACTAAGCTTCCCACAAAGATATATGTGTTTTTAAGATATTAAAATAAAGAAAGAAAAGCTAAAAAGAGGCCATGTGTCTGCACATAGGCCTGTGTGTGGCAAAGCCTGTCTCAAAAATAGTCTTTCCTTTCCCCCTTTGTTTTTTAATGTTTGCACAGGGAAAAAGAAGAATCCTTTTTCCCATTTCAGAGGCTCATAGCTCTGAACAAGTGCTGCAATTATGCATCTCAAAAGCAGATAAGTGACAGGTGAAAAAAATTAAACTCACTTAGGCAAGGCAGGTTCAGAGTATTTGTAATGAACTGAAATTGCTCCAGCGAGTCCCCCTTTTGGTTTGAAAGCCCAGAAATCACGATCACTTGAGCTTTCCATGCATTTTTTCAATGCTTTGTAATTAAGCTCCAATTTGTGATGTCTGTCAAGTCAGCTAGATTTTTCACTTGTACACCTGCTAAAAGGATGCAGCCAGTGCTGTACATTTGGTCAGTGAGACAAATCATTCATACCTCTGCATGTTGGTACTAGTCAGCTGGAAACAAAGGAAAAAAGGGCAGGATACTCTGGATTCCTCTCCAGAGGACAGCACCAATACATCTAGCACAGGATCAGATCTTTGCAATACTTTGAAGTGGTTCAAGTTCATGCGCAAAAGGTGACTTTCATTTCGGGGCCACTGCAGGGACAATTACAGCAGCTCCATGCAAGTATTTCAATCATCCCCATCCATGCCAGCTCTGCAGGAGCTATTTCAAGCCTGTCCAGTGTGAGCAGCCAGATTTCCCAGTGCAGTGCCACACTGCCCCACAAACAAAGGGACACAGAGAAGGTCTCTCCACCTTCCCTGTGACTCCCTTCAAAAGCAATTCTAGAGAGGCCAAGACCTTATTGTGCAAAACCTGCAAGACCTTTAAACAGGGTAAAGCATGTAACACTGTGTAAGCATCAGCCAGAGGGTAGATTTTGCTCTGGTAAAGAAAGAAAGGCAGTTGCTGATGAGCCTGTACCAGTTCCCTCTCCTGCTCCTTTTTATCACAAATCACTGAGAATAAACATGGTGAAACAGTTTAAAACAGCCTTTCGTTCTCTCTCAAGCACTTCCATTACATGATTTAGCCCAGACACTGCAGTTCTGCCCATTTTGCTCCCCCATAGTCTATTATCTGTGAGTCCAGAGAACTTTTCTTTCAGTCTTCACTCCATCCCCTCCTTCCCTCTTACTTCATCTAGAATAAAAATTCCCAGAGGACTGTGACTACACAACACTCTGGGAGCTACATTCCCAGGAGTTCAAGGCAACACCACATCCCTTCAAGTCCAGCACTGGAGAATCTTAAGCTCTAAGAATGGGTCAAGTGACTGATAAGCTCACTTTACCATCCCAGCAGACAGGTTTGTGCCCTCAGCTAGCACTACAGGCACAGTTATAATTCAACTCCCAGGCTCTGCTACTACTTCACCCAGTGGAAACTAGGCAAATACACTGAACTTAGATACACTGTCATAGCTGTTCCAACAGCAAAAGTTCAACAAGAAGGGCTGGCTTCAATCAGTTTTTAAACCCTTCATATAAAATATTAAGTATTTCAAACAAACCTATATATTTATAAACTTCATTAGCCTACAACAGCACTGTAAAACTTGTGAAAGTTTTAAAGTTAACTATAGATGATACATATTTGATGCAAACCACTGTAACTTGATAATAAAAAGATTAGTTATAGAGCTATAAAAAGGTTATGTCAAGCTTTTACAGCTGATCATTAATACTGTAAAATGTAGTTATGTTTTTATGCTTTGTTGGCTGACAACAACCGGAATCTGAAGGAGACCATGAACTTTCTTTAGTCTCTATTAATGAGTCTTAAATTGAGCCAGTCAGAGAAACATTTTCTTAAAGGTTACAAGATACTCCTGCAGTCTATAGTACTCCTTATAAATAGGTTAATAATCAGCAGAGTCCTCAAAGTCAAAATACACTATCTCCATTGGGTCTGTAGTTGCTACAGTTGAAAAGAAAATAAGATCTGACATCAGGAACAAAAGCCAGATCCCTTGTTCATTTCTTTGTGCTAAATTTAAATGGCATTCAACAGTCAGAAGTAAAACACCCCAAGCTCACTGGGTGGAGGATTATAGGTTCATACAGCATTTACTAAACAGCAGTAGGAAACGTGAACAGCCAGAAAACCACTGGAAATTATGTCTTTAAGGTTGTGTGGACTTACTGACAGGCATCAGGGTTTGCACACACAGGAGTCTTCAGGAGAGCAAATCCAAATTAACTTTTGAAATAGATTCCTTCAGTGTATTAACCAGAACTGTGGTCGGTTTAAGTTCTGATTAGGAATGGCTGTACTGGAATTCAGGTGAATTACAGTTTATAGTAATATCATCTTTTTGAGGTGAATTACACCAAATTTATTCAAATTCAGTATTCCCAATCATGAACTCTAAAACCCAGTGGAGCTTTACTTGATGTAGTTAATTCACAGGTGTAACCATTTTGGACAAAGCCTGAGCATCTCCACATAGCCACAGGCTCATCAGTGTGTCACGGTACTTCCCATGCTGCTCACCCTGGCCTCTCTCCCCTTTTGCTACTGCATGTATAACTTCCATTTTAGTTTTCCTGGAGTACCCATAGGAAACTTATGGACCCCCAAGCCTACAATCTGCATCTTTCTGCACTATTAATAACAATGTGCTGAAGCAATGAAAGACCCACTGACGCCCTAATGGACTGTGAGAAAAAGGAAAGAGATTTTTTTTAAGCTGCATTTTAAATCAGTTCATTACACATATTGTTCTATTTAATTTTGTACTGCATGACATCAGCATTCTTTATTTGCTATTCAGCAGAGGTTAAAACATATAAATGGATCCTGTTTCCAGGCCTACAGTCCAAGCTGTGATTTGGTTAAGCGAGACTAGCCAGATTTTCTGCTGGAAAAAATCCATTCAAAAATCAGGAAAATTATTCCTCCCGAGAGACAATTTGGCTTGGAAATGATATTTTCTTTCAAAGTAATTTAGCAGAGGCCTGTGCAAATCCAAACAAATTCCCACTGACTATGATAGTTTTAATATAAAATTTATATTTTTCCCTAAAGGCTGCTCATCGTCACTTGCATCACACCCCTGAAGTTATTTGTTACACATAACCTAGTTGATGGTTACTTTTCCATTCTTTTATCTGCAGGTTTGGTTTGGTTTCACTCCTCCTGAAGAAGTCAAAGACTGGAAAATGGGCATTTTTTATCCTGTCCATCTTAGAAAGAGGATTACAGAAAAACACCCAGTTAAGGGTGCAGGGACAGCACTGGCACATGCAGGCTCTTTGAAAGGCATGAGCTTGGTGCCAGTGTCCGCCAACACAGTATCTGCAGAGTTCCCAGGGAGCAGGACAAGGGGAAGTACAAAATTTAATAACTTGGAAAGACTTTGTATTAAACAGAGACAGGAGCAGGGTATTGTGGAATCAAATCCTGAAGCACTGTCAGGAAGTTGTTATACTTGCAGAAAATCCTTCCAATCTCTTAAGTCAGAAGATCCTCTGTTTTATTTTACCCCTTGATTTTGAGCTAGTGCAAGGTTTCAGATGAAGGAAATTGTGGGGACTGGATTAAGTACCGTGCTTTGCTTTTTCTCTTAAAACCATGAGCATTAGATAGTCAACATAAGCATTCTATCTAGTCAGAGCTATCTGCAGGTTCAAAATGCCAGTAACTGGTGAATCCAAACTGTTTATAACAAATAAACATTTACTTTGAACAAAACACTAAAAAGCCTTTATCTTGAGGAGTCCAGGAATAGAGCCAGAACCAAATGGCTTAACAGATTTCAAACATCAGCCCCATCAGGCGACAAAAAGTTACGATACCTGAATTATCACACTAAGAGATCCTGCTCTAATCCTTACTAAAAAAACCTCACCAAACCAGAGGACAGTTAATGTATGTTCAGTACCAAGGACCACAAACACCTACCTCTGTGCATAGTACACCTAACAGGAGAGCAGCCTGCAATTGGTGTCACAGAAGGGAAAATCTTCTCCCAGTCACCATCCTGTCACATTCGTGCCAAGTGTTGAACACATGAGGACTGAAATCCTCCACGCCTGCTACCATCATTGGCTGGCATTTGTCACAGGTGAGACCTGAAGACAGAAGATCCAAAAGGCAGTTGAGTCCCAGAGGAACACAACATCAGGACAAGGTTTTAAAGTAGGAATGAATCTGTGATGCACAGTCAGAAGATTCACTGATAAACACCAAGACTGGACATACGCATGCCGTTAGAATCACATACATGAACACACAAACCTGTTCTTATTTTTGAAAGAAATCAATAACCTCCTTATTCCTGCTTTATCTGCCTTTACTGTTAGGGGTGTGTGATATAAATACACCTGCACAAGAGAAAAACTGCAGCATATATGATAGTGAATGATCATTGGTCATTCCTAAAAACATGTCCTGATGGCACTAATAAGATCACTTTCTATCTTCTCCTGATGCCTACGCCAGACTGTCTGCAGTAGATCCCATAGATAACTCCCATCTGAAGCCAAGCAAGTTATCCAGTATAACATGCCCAAACTAGAAACATATATTTCCATTTCTCATACAGCTACACTTAGAGAAAAGCTCTGATAGTTCATGTTTCATGTCCCTGCTGCCTTTTCTTTTTTTCAGCTTTTGTGTTTCTTAAGTATTTTTTGTCACTCTCCTTAGAATGAACTACATGTGGTAAATACAAGTCAGGGTGCTCTGATCTTGGCTTGAGAAAGCTTCTTGGGCTGGTTAAAGAAAAAAACACCAAACTTTTAAAAGCTTACACTTTAAGATTTGAAGTGAATAGGAACAGCAGCTTGGCTTCTAGTCTTGGGCTTTATTGCAGTGCAGACATGGCTGATATTACCTTTAGAAATGAGGTTTCTGTTCCTGAGCTCCTTTTAAAATTGTCAGTTCCTTGCCTGTGCACTGTGTACCTGCTACAGTGATGGAGATGTTTTAAATCTGTGCAAAGGAACGGAGCTGAGGCTGGTTCACTCTGGGGCTAATCAGGGAAGGAAGAGGCTGGGAGCTGTGTGCTGAGAGCATCCCAGGAGTTAAGTCCTAAAAACCACTTTATGTTTGCAAATGAGACATTTACAAACAATCATGAAAATTTGGGATGTTTGCTCGCCTCCCTTGCAGAGGCGTGGGAGAGCTGTCATTTCTGATTACACAGGAAGGGCCTGCAGAAGCTCTGGCTCCTCAGCACCTGCTCTAACCACCTCGACCACGCTGCAGGCACTTGAACATGAGAAAATGAAAGGATGTATCTGCTTCCATCATTTTTGGCACTGCACAAAAGGAGCAGTGCTGTTTTCCCATACTCCTCCAATTACACTGATGGAAAATATCTTCACAAATCTGTGCAAGCTCAGTCTTTGTTAACTGCTGTCCCTTCAATTCAGCATTTCTGCAACATTTAGTTTCACCTTTTCATAGTCTGCTCTATTTTAATGCTAATTTGCTTCACTGGGGTATAAATCTCCTTCCCTCCAACTTTTTGTGTATTTCTGGTTTTGTTTTCCAAGACACCAGTCTTCCCTTCCCTTGAATTTTTACAAAGCATAAAATCATCTGCATGAAAGTACTTCCAGTATTTCACATCTACCATTGTACCAAGAGTGACCGTGGTTTCTTATTCTCAAAACCCAGGCATGAAACAACCCTGAATTTGCCACAGCAGAACAGACGCCACTTTTAATCAAGCTGACTGCTTCTCTGTTTAGTAATGTGAAGTCCCAAACTAAACTAAGGAGGAGAAGGAGGAAAATAAAAACTAAAAAAGGCAAAAACTTGACAAGTTTTTGTCATCAATAAAATTGCAGTAAGATGCCCAATCACAAGGCTCTGGGGAAAAAAAGCCATCACTCCGGATTCAGGGGGGAAGATGACCTTTGCTGACTGCCTCCACAAAATGACTGGTGACATTGGCTTTGTGGCTCTCTGAAGATGGAGGAGGCTCCTTTTAGGCTTGGCTTCACGCTGTTATTTCCGCCTCTTTGGCTCACAAAGCTGCTTTCAGCAGCTTCTTTTAAAGCTGCTTCTCAATTCCACTCGCAGTGGAAGGTAGCTGGGTTTTCAGAGAGACAAAACCAGCACTTCAAGGAGCCCTGGGAGGGCTGTACAGAGATGAGGGAGAAACCTGCTGAAAATGAGCCAAGTTTCTTGCTCAAATGCTACATGCAGTTCCAGAGTCTTCACTGCAATTCATGTGTATTAAAACATGGGCTTGAGTTTGCAAAATGTCTGCAATTTATGAGGTTTCGACAAGCTCCTTTATGCCCTTTCCAAGCTTCAATCAGGACCAATTCTCCAGGAGCAGGGTGGAAAACAGCAATTCCACCCCAGTAGTGGTAGGACTTTACAATCCCCTAAAATTGTGACTGATCTCCCCTCTCACTGTCCCTAAGGTTCCCGCAATGATTCAGGATGTTACAGGCTGAGGCATTAACAGCTGTAAGTGTTCATGAAAAGCACTGGGCCTCATGCTGGAACCAACATAAGGGAACAGCGTGTAGCACCACATCAACACCTATTTAGTTTTACAGTCCTATCAGACCTACCCAGTACAATGGTGCATCTCAGCTGAATGAACTGAAATGTCTCATTGAGTTAATGCTTATCTCTGTGGTCTGAGCTCACCTTTCAGGAAAGCACCAGTCAATCAACAGAGCTGGGCTGCTCTGCATGCAAACACACTCTGTTATTCAACATGTCACTCCAGAGAGGTTGATTCCATGCCAGGAAAACTGCTGTTGAAGAGAAGGCTTTGCAGTGGCCTCAGAATTGAGGGCAGAAAGAGAATAAAGTACCCTGGGTATGTCTTGCAAAGCACAGGGCGCTCTTCCAGCCCCCAGACAGTGAGGTATTGAAGCAATCAGCAAAGATATCCCTGCATTCTGCAGCTCGTGAGCAGTAAGAGGTTACAATGATTAACAAGGACATTGGAGCTGCTCATAGGGTGAACTCACCCCCTTGGACAGTGAGAAATTATCATGATTAGCTAGTCAGAATGATTAAAATTTCACAGGGTGAACTGAGATCCATGGGCAGGGAGATGGGATGATTAAGTGGCTCATGTCCACCACCTCGTCAGGGGGAGGCTCAGATTCATGGGCAGCAAGATGGTTATTAACATGGTGACATCAATAGTTATTAACCTGGCTGCATCAGCGTTGTTCACAGAATGAACTTCGCTTCACAGGGGGAGACAGGGAGAAAACGATTAACAAAAGAACTTAGCAGTGCTCTCAGGGTGAATTAAGATGTATGGACAGAAACAGGATTAATGGAGATACATCAGCCTTGACCTCAGTGTGACCAGATTCACAGGCAGAATACTTAGATTAACACAGTCTTGTCATGTCAACTTGCTAGATGGCTCCTCGTTAGGAGGGCTTGGGCAATGACTGTGCCTCCAGAATTCAAGGTTAAATGTTACCCAACTTGGCAACCAGTGAAATCAAGCCAAAGGGGGAAGCAATTATCTAGCCTGGATAGACCCTCACATCTGTACAAATACTTTGATGTCTGTTAGCCCGTGCCAAGTACACCAATTAGTTTGCAGAGAAGTGACATTAGAAACCTTGTCGTCTTTCTGGGCTACAATGCAAGAGGCTTACGGGTTTTCACAAAGGGGCAATGAAACTCAAGATCCCAAACAAGTTTCAGTTCTTTGCAAACTTCCTATGTTAGTACAGAGGCAACAAGTGAGAGCCACATACACACAGCCTTTACACTTCCATACGGTACACTATGACATAAAATGTCCACAGAGGCAGTGCCAGGCACATAAAATCCACATTCAGCTACTGATAAAACCAATTAAACTGCTAACCTGACAGGCTAAAACTCCTTTTCACAGGACAGATACAGCAACATAATTGATTACCACCTAGCTGGGTTCTACAGCTCAGAGACACTGGCACAGCTGAGACTGGGGGAGAGGAGTGGAGAAACAGTCACTGTATCTGCAACTGCAATACTTCCCTTTCTGGCGAACCCCAGGGCTCTGCCACAGCTTCTGAAAAGCTGGGGTCCAGTTCAGACCAGTCAATACCAATATGTCACAGCTGTCCGGTCTGCATGGTGCTTTGCCTGAGCTCTTGGGCATACTTAAATTTGGACCTACATTTTAAATGTGTTCATAAAGTCTAAGAGCGAGAGCTGCTACTGAAAACCCAGAAAGAGATTTTCCTGGACAATGTCTTTTGGTCACTGCAACTACTAACCAAGCTCTTATTTCAGCCAACTGTATACTAAATTGCTTCCTAAAGCCTGCAAATGGCCTATACACCCTTAGTTAAGAATAGAGGGCAATGATCTCAGAGGTGGAAAACTATTACACACTCCTATTTTGTGACCAGAAGGAAAGCTAAGCAAACAAAGTCAGCAGGGGATTGAAGTGTCAGGAAAAGCTGTCTCATATGGATTGGGTACAATGCAATTCTGTGTACAAACAGCTAGGTAATTATTTCTTACTGCATATCAGCGAAGGCTGACCTGATTAAAATCATAAATCAGGCAATGCCTCTGTTTTTATGCTGTGAGAATCCATGTCTGTGTTTGCATATTAATTAAGATAAGCTAAGTAATCGAAAATGTTTGCTAGGAAAAAGAAAACAGATTGTAACCGGAGAGAAGCAAACACAGGAGCACAGTACAGCAACTACACAACAATCTTCCTCTGTTTACACTGTACCCTTTGGAAACTGCTCATAATTTCTACCCCTGTGATTTCCTTCCATCAGGTTTTAAGGGGAAACGTCTCTGTAATTTGTACCCCACAACTTTTTTCTACTTGGTGGGAAAACAGCATGAAAGCTGCTGTCAGGTTAGAAAGCTGCATAACTTTATAAGTTCCAGCATATTTTTTGGCTGTTCTTCCCCATGTGCTATGCACTATCAGATTAATGTCACTGTTCAGCAAAGCTGGGAGTATTGATGTTGAAATATTAAAGCTATTTCATCAATACCAGGTTTGGAGAGAGGTCATTTATGGTCATTAGAATAGAAGAGCATTTATTCTGGACATCAGAGAAACCCCCATGGGTCCTAGAGATCATGCTGCAATCCCCATAATGCCATTAATATAATGGCC